GTATGTCGAAAACTTTCTAAGCTTAGTCTCTAAGCCTCTGGATGAAACACAGAGCAGATATAAAAGTCTGCTTTATTCTTTCCCCTTTGTGGAGGAAATAGCAATTTGAACAGTTATAGGACTGTTGTATTTTAATTTAGTTGAAAATGCTTTCTCTCAAGCTTGCTTCTATGACAAGAGGGCATTTTTACCCAATTTTAAGCAATAAACCTAAAGAAAGGACACAAGGCTCTGATATTTCACAGCAAAAAAGATCTGAGCAAGGAATCTCCAATTCCTTTGCTATGGATATGTACCCTTCAACAGTCCCCCTGGCTCACTAGAAATAAAAGCAATCTGGCAACTGTTCTTCTAAGGCCCTATTGGTGCTACATGACTTAGTCAATATGACAGCCCTGTTCTGCAGTGACCCCCTATGGCCAATTAACAAGTAGGATACATTAACTTCAAAAACGATTTTTTGCCTCTCCTGAGCTTATGACAAGTTATCAAGAGATCAACCTCTCAGAGAGATGGTGGGATTACAGGGTGGTGTCTTTGCCAAAGAGCAGGAATTGCTAGAGGGGGATTGTCTGCTTTGAGCCCAATAAACGGTATCAAGAAAGGGAAGGAAATGAATAAATCCACTTGCAAATCCATCTGTGTGCATTTAAAGTGGGCAGAAACTAACATAAGTGAAGCAGAGACAGAATGTCTGTGATAGAAATAAAACCACTTTACTGTTTAGAATAAAAGGACACTATAAAAAGTGAACATTATGCAACATTACCTTAAAAGACAATATACATTCACTGAATATAAAATTTATAAATAACATGGAGGAAAACTGTAAACAGTGCTAGAAAATTTAGCAACAAATACATTCCTTCTGGACAAGATTTTTCACGCAGGTTTGGTTCCCTCCCCAAATTTCCATGACTATCAGGAACAGCAGAATGGCTCTGTGAAGGAAGGGTAGTGTCAGAGAGAATGGGAAACCAGTACAGGCAAAGCAGCAGTGCTTAGCGGAGTGGTAAGCTTGTTGTCAACACTGGTAACACTAAAAGCAACTTATTTCAATTAAAAAAGGTTCTGCAAAAGTTTTCCCCTGCCTTTTTAAGCTAGAACAGACATTTTAAATATTTTTTTTCAAAGACATCTGAAAGAATGGAGGTTTGTTCCCATGGAGGCTTAACTTTGAGTCCTTAGTGTGAAAAACACTGCAGTGTGTTTGCCATTAATCACCCTGAGATAGTACTCCAACCTGCATGAGTGGGATATGATAATATGTTTAGGTTTCCAAATAGTCCTATGTAAAAGGCCATGCAGTTTTTCAAAACATGAGAAGTGTAGTCCTAAACTTGTCCCATGGAGGGATGAGGGAAGCCTACCACAGGCGGGGACCACAGTATGTCAGTGATCCCAAGAGGACTTTAGTCAAGGTACTCCAATAACAGATCTCTTCCTGTTCTCCATCTTTTCCCTTTTTGGAAAGGAAAATTGAGATCAATTATTTCCTATCCTTCAATATATTTTTCATACTTTTTATAATTTCTAAGGGAAAACACTCTCAAGCAAAAAAAGGGAAAATATAAATAATTGTAATTTAAAAAGCAAGAGAATTTCTAATAATGTTGGTATATAGAGAGGAAAATTGCCCTCATCCTACATGTGCCTGAAGATCATGTTCACGTGAGGTGGGCAGTTGATAGTTTCCATCTAATCTTTGATTGCAAGGTGAAGTGAGGAGCATGGGAGAGGTGACTTGTGTGAGCCATTGCATGCTCCAGTACCCAGTACTTGGGGGAGAACTTCATACCTTCTTCCTCATATCCTGTCTCTCAGTGCCCACATCCTTCATGGTGTGTTCTAACAACTGAGAACAATCATAGAATCACCAAGGTTGGAAAAGACCTCCACAATCATCTAGTCCAACCATCCATCTACCACCAATACTTCTCCAGAAAACAATGTCCCTTAGTACAACATCTAAATGTTTCTTGATCACTTTTAGCTTAGCAGGATAGGAGAAAGGAGAGCACAGAGAGAAAGGAGTAAGTGTTAGAGGCTGAGTTAGAGCCCATACAAGCCACATTAACAGCTCCCTTCTACTTCAAGGGAACCTTCAGGCAGGTCCTTAATGCAAGCACAAGCTAAAGCTTAGCCCAAGAAGCAGACGTCCCTGATAGCATGCACTGAAACAAAATTAAGTAGCTTCCCAAAAGAAATGTATTTTTACTGGATTCTTCCCCCTCCTTTTGGCTCCACATTTTTAAAAGTCTTAACAACTGTTTCTTTACACAACAAGGGAAACGATTTGCTACCAAACCCCAACCCTTGCTGGTCTAGCTGTATGCATCTCAGAAATATTTTACCATCTGCAATATAAAATGTGAATTCAGTTTATTTTCTGGTAATGTATGGTTGCTGTTTTGTTGTTTACAAAGCACATAGCTACATTATATCCTACTTGGGGACACAAGCCCTCATAGCATTAGAAGGAAAATATTTTCACAATAATTTGAGTGCAATACCGTGATGTCTCAGCTATAGCTACATGAATCAGTGACAGGTAAAATACGCAGAGCTGCAATTAAATGAAAAATCAACACTTCACTGCTTCGAGGGGCATTCTCATTCAGCGTCTGAAGCTGTGATAAGTGGCTGCAGCTCAAAGAAACATCAGGTTTGCGAGGTCGCTTTGAGCTTGAGGAGCATCTCCAGAACCGCTGACTTCACACAATGTGGACAGTGAGGGTGGAAGCATCCCTGCTGGCCAGGTTGGCTCCACTCTGCACTCAACTGAGATTGAGCCCTTGGAGATTTTATTGGCAGTACACAGCTCAGAGGTTGTCCCACTGTGTCCAAAAGCCCAATCCCATACTCTGCCAAAAGGGGCAATGCTCTTGACCAGAACCTATGATGGGACCTATGAAGCACCCTACTCTCCCTCTCATCTCCAACCTATAATTTAGGAGTAGTCACAGGGAAGAGGACTTTTTGAAAAGTGTTCCAAGCCTGAATCACAGGAAAATCCAATGGATTTTCAGTGTGTTGAGTTCTGTACTGCCACTCAGAGCAGCTGGAAAAAAAAAATACACAGCAAAGCTAGGTGCCTCCTATACCAGCTCCTTGAAAATGCCCTTTAAATCTCATGCTGAAAATGAAGCTGTAACACCTTTTGCTGTAACAATTCATCTAGTGAGTGGGGCATTTCAAGGCATGTATATATGCCAGAGCACTGGTAGCATAGAAGAGCCATAAAAATGCATCAGGACCCATCTCAGACATCTGTTCCTTTCCATTCAGCAAAGAGGCCCCAAACAATTTTCCAACAGTTGAGAAGGTCACTGACTATAAAATGCTGTATTGCCCTGGGCTGGGTTCACTGCAACACTTTCTCCTGCTGGTGGCAGCTCTGCTTTCTAAGTGGAATGAATTGAAGATATATGGAAACTTAAGATAAATTATCATAATAATACAAAAATGAAGTTAAGCATAATCTTCTCCCTGCCCAAGCCCTCCCCATTCAAAACTCAGTCACCCATTTTGTCAGAACCCCTTCTTCACCATCATTAAAACTTAAAATACTTTTATTTGATAAGAAAAATTATATTATAGTTTTCTTAATAAAAAACAAAATAGAACGAAAAAACTTCTCCAGTCAACAGCAAAGCACAAGACAGTAAGGCTCCTCCTCCCACATCATTGCAGGACACAGTATGAGCACATGCACAGATCTATGCTTTACAGTGCCTAGAGGGGGAAAACAGCACTTGACACAGAAGGAATCCTCTGGGCAGCTGAAATTTTATGATCCCAGCCAGCACTTATTAGGAGACCACTCTTCCTTGCCTACCCCCTCCTCCCCTCCCCGCCACACACACTTCCTCTCACTGTATAAACAAATACAGCTAGTGTAGCTGCAGGGAGGAACTGTGGAGCTGGGGTACAGAGGAAACAATGACTGTAGCCACTACTGCAGATACACTGGAGCTTCAATATCTTAAGAACAACTCACTGACTCGGAATGTCAATATTTCTGTCTTTAAAACACAATCAAACCATTCTTTTGTTTCTAACACCAAAAAATTTCCACGTCCTGTCAAAAATAGCTTATGTCATTATGTGTATGTATATACATCTTAGTTCAGAAAAACACTATTTTGGCAATAGATTTTTTTTATAGTAAGAGCTCTAGCAAGTCTCCCCTTTCCCTCTCCCATGTGATTGATTTACAGTTGGTATTTTTGCATGTTTGGTTTAACGTGTTTACAAGTTGCTTGTGCTGTTGAAGCTCAGCTGCAAAGAGTTCAGGGCCCAACACTGTTCAAAACAGGATGCCACAGCATTTTATCTGCTCTGCTGCAGGTGGATTTACCTCCCTGAACATAGGGGATGGGGCTTTTGTTTTTTCAACAACAAAAATACAAAATACTCTCTCCTTTGTTCTCGAGAAAGCCAGAACTTTAAATATGCTCTTGCATTCACACTGTGACTGCAAGGACAATCAGCCAACAATGCTTTTACCAGATGATGCGGTCAGACACACCAGGTGAATTTCTCCCACTGCTGGAGTCAATCACATTGCCAATCTCTTCCATAGAGGAGGATTTATTTTGGATGTCATTTTTATCCAGAGTTTAAGCTGGGTTTCTTTTCAGTTTGCTTCATCTGCCAATCTGATTAATGAAACCTGTTTTTCTTTAAACAGATTTGTCTACGCATTTTCAGCATTTAGTGCATGAGGAGGGGTGAGGGGAAGCCAGCGCACAGAAGAATATAGTGCCTAATTGGCATAGTTTTTAGATTTTTGTTTTCCTAAAAAAATAGAGATTATATTGCTACAGCTAATGATACATGTAAGAGAGCAAGAGCTCCATGTTTTTTTTTTCCTCCATTTTTCCCTCTGGTGTGCAAAAGTAAGCTCCCAAATGTCATCTGACCAAAACGAGTGGTATCAAAAATGGAAAAGGTAACTACTACAAATTCAGTAAGGTAGCACAGACTTTTTTCTTTCCTTCTTTTTTTTTTCTTTTTTTTTTTTCTTTTTTTTTTTTTTAAGTGTTCGAAGTGCTAGAATTTGCAAGAAAATAGGCACTAATTTCATTGTCATCATCATGATCGGGTAAGAGTTAGTGTCCAAAGGAAGATCAGCCACAAGTAAGGGAGAGGGAAGATAAGGAAGGTACAGTGTGCTCAGGGATCTGTGGCATTGATGATCGTTTTATCTGGAGGCGCCCATCCTCTGTACCAGCTGCAGTAACCTTCCACCCTCTGAATGCAAGCATAGTGCTTCGCTTGGTGTCCTGAGTGGCCGAAGTTGGAGAGCATGTCTGTCCAAATGCACTCATTCTTGGAGGTGGCAAAGCAGGGCAAATAGTAGCAGGGCCGAATCTGCAATTGTAAAGAGCAAACCAGTGAGGCAACAGAGAACTTTATGTAAAATGCCTTTCTACCAGAACCAAGGGATTAAAAATTCCTCTCCTTAGAGCCTTGCTTACGAACTCAAAATTCAGCCTCAGTTTAGTAAGCATGTAAACATGTGCTTAACTTCACATACACAGGTAACTCCAGAGTCAGAGGCTTCTCAGGTACAGAAAAGTTGAGCTTTTATCTATGTTTTTGCAGATCTGAGGCCATGAGAAAAATCTTGGTGCCACTGCCAGGCTGACAGGTTTTAACTATTCAAACTGTTTGCACATGAGGAAAAAAAAAAAAAAAAAAAAAAAGTTGGCCATATCTTGCCAAGCCGTGGGTACTTGATTTCATTCATCTGCAAACAATTCTGTGTGGATTCTAAAAGGTTTCCCTAACCCCCAGTTAGCTCCAACATGGAATTACAAAGGCATAGACACGGCATTTTTATGTATCTCTTCTCTAATCTCAAAACTAAAGCTGAGCTGTTCCGTTTTCCCTGCAAAAACTGTTGTGTTTTATTTCCTTCACTGGCTGTTCACCATCACTGGTATTACCAGCTAGAGGTTCTAGGGTTCTAACATCTTAACACTACCTAATTAAAAACACCACTTACCTTGCACCCACAGCCCAGATGATAACGATGATTCAGTCCTTTACGCTGGGACAGAGTCAGTCGGTCCCATTTCTCATACCAATTGCACAGGCCAGTGTAAACCTTCCCTTCGTACACGCGGCCTTGAAAACAGACACATAGTCACAAGTTAGCACTTCTCAGCTCAAGCACTTTGCTCATTTCCTGAGACCGCTAATGCTCTCAACATGTTTGGCTTCAGTTCCTGCTCAACAACTGCTTTCTTTTTATTAACTGGCTCAGGAATTTCTTACCAGAGAGATTACAGCACTTCTGTAAGTTAGGAATGCTATGCCAGCTGTAAGCACCAGCAACAACATACAGGTGAGTAATACTGACAAGTTTGTCTCAACAATGGAGCAAAGCCAAGTGAATTGACACCTTCAAAAGGACTTGGCAACTGTCACATCCCTATCTTCTTGCATCCCTTATCTCAGCTGTCTGTACTCAGAATAGAATGGGTTGGAAAGGACCTCTGGAGATCATCTAGTCTAATCCCTTGCAAAAGCCTGTGGAGACACCATAACCTCTCTGGACAGCTTGTTCCAGTGCTCTGTCATCCTCAAAGTAAAGTTGTTTTTTTCTCATATTCTGATGGAACTTTTTGTGTTCCAGATTGTGCCCACTGCCCCTTGTCTTTTCACTCCCAAACACTGGTGAACACTTTAACATTTGGAAGGCTGCTAACAGAGCTGTGTACACAGTTGCCCATGTATTTAGCAGCCATATGTATAGAATGGAAGATTTTGATTACGAAGTGCGTTGTTCTTTACCTGTAATCAGATACTGGTACTTGTTGACCTCCAGTTTCACACCACAAAGACTCTCTGAGGCTTCTGTGTAGATGTACTGAACGTGTGGCATTATCTGGAAGCCCCTGTACATCTAGAGAAAGAATAAAAAGGCATTAAGTTATCTTAAGATGACAACTTTTCACTCAGATTCTTCACAATCCATGCTTCTGGATTGTGGCAGCAAGCAGTGAACTTTTAGTGTTTAGGGTGAAGGACTGACAGCACTAGCTGGATTCTGAGGGAACTGTCCCTAGCAATCTTCTCATAGGACAGAACACCCACCTGTAGTGAGCCACTACAGTTTTACAGGGGCATCCCCATCCCTGCTCTCATTAGTTCCAATGGCACGAAGGGAGTAAAGCATGAACATCATAAGCTCTGCCAACATCCTCAACGATTTCTTTTTTCCTTTATGTAGCTTATAATCAGGGAGAAATTGGTTCAGGTTTGGCTTCTTTCTCATTCTTGTGACTTAAACAATTTCTTCTGAACAAAAGGATTTTTTCTTTTAAACAATGACCTTGTTTTCCAGTATCAATGCTCTAAGAGTTTCAAGCTTTTGCTGCTTGATCCAAGTCATCAAGCCAGATGCTTCCTTCTCAGATGCCTAGCATACACAACTCCTGCTGACTTCAGCAGGGATTTAATGTTTCTCTAACTAAATGAAAGCAGAAATAGAATTCTACTTAAAATTAGCCTGTTACTGATGGCTGCCATAAAAACAATATCGCGTATACATAATTCCTCTATGCTTTTTCTCCTTTTTCATAATCATTAAGTGGAAGCCAAGATGCAGTTCAATTTAATTGAAATATGAACCCACAGACATACTGGCAGTTGGAGTCAATCAGGAATTAGCACGTGTCCTTATCTGACTTGACCTTACCACTGCCATTTAGGGAAACTTGTACATACCTGTTTAGTAGCATAAGGAGTCTGTGCATAGCAAAGAAGTAACCATTACATGCATACGCCGAACCCAATAAATCATATCCTACTTTTGAAACATTGAGGATAATTTTCCTCCAAGTTTCATCTTTAGAATTTGGATATTTCAAATTATTTAGGCTCTTTTTCCTCCCCCACCCAAAGCTGTACGAATTGCCACCATTTAGAAGTTGAACAACAGAGGGCAGAGAGAATCACTGTTTCACAGCCTTTCTTAACCTATCCTTTTCTCTATTAGCTTTGTTGATAGAGAACACATTCATATTCATTTTAACTATTAACATTGTAGCAAGGCATAAGAGGAAAAAAATCCCAAGCAGCCCCAGAGCTATAGATCCCTGCTGCTGATCCCCTCCATGCTTTATTTTATTCCTTGCAGTCCCTTATTACCAAGTGTATGTGTTCATTCCCATTTGCCCATCTTTCACTACTCCTTTCTGCTTTATTTAAAAAACAATCCTCTTTCTTCCACAGAATTCAACAGTGCTATTTTTTTCTGGTGCTAAGTGCCTGATTCAAACCTCCATGAAGTCAGTGAACAGCTCTCAGTTAGATGTAAGGGATATTATGCTAGATCCAGGTACCGCATATACAAACAAACAAACAAAAAGCTACTATTTTTCTATGTGCAGAGGTCAAATCACCTTCTGGGTATCCAGGGAGTATCCTTACTGACAATACTCCAATCAGCATTTTATGCAGTTATCACAGGTCAGTAACAGCACTTCTGTGTACAGTAAAAGACATTCCAGAGGGTTTCTATTTTCCAGCCTTCCTTCTACGCCCAACAAATATGCAAGGAAAGCATTTTTTAAAAATTAATCATACTGCAAGAACAGAAGCTCACAGATCACATTTGGAATAAAGTACTGTATTCTTAGGTCAGCAAAGCCTTACACTGAATATGGAAGAACTGAACCTTGCCTCATCTCTACTTTATTCCTGCAATTTTATTGGTACAGGATGATCTACTCAGATTTTCCAATCACCATCGAGATAGCTGAAGATCTAAGTTCTGGCACAGGCATCCTATGTGTCCTTGGATGAGTTATTTAATCTTTAGTGCATTTTCATTCCTCATCTGCAAAACAGCTCTGTCTTGCTTCACACGGGTAGTACTGTGAGGAAATGCATGCTGACTCAAGATTGTATGTTCAAATCCCAAGCTAGTGATTGTCACAGCAAGAAGCTAGGATTGCAGTATCTAAGCAGATAAGACTAGCTAAGATAACAGCTGGGGCTGCCCAGTCTTTCCACCACAGAAAGCTGGAGGCCGGGCCCACGCAATACAAGTGACCAGTCACTCTGAGTGCTAAACTTCAAGGAGCATAAGGCTAATTAAGGATCTGAGCTACAAATCTACACCTGCACAAGCTCCCCTTGTAGAAGGACCTACAACCTAGATCAATCATTCTTCAAAGAGCTGCTCAGCCCCTTCCTACAGGACCCCTGCAGTCCAACTCCTTGCATCTTCTGCACCATCAAGCTCAAAATGATAGCCTCTGAGGCAATGCCAAACTGGCATCTAGTTTTTGACTCCTGTACTTAATTTCTTGTTCACATTAGCATTAGGGACAGCACTACCAGGGTTACTGAAGGCATCACGCTCGGCCTCTCACAAAGCCCTTCAGCTCACCGCTCAGGAACAACTGCCATGCTAACAGGTCTGGGCTGGGCCAGACAGGGCCTGCCTCGCCCTCTGTCAACTGAAGAAACTTTGCTCTGACCCTGGTGCTCGGGAGGAAACAGAAAATTCCGCAATCTTTTACAGATGTCCCCTTTCAAAACAAATAAAGCGTTTTCTTTTTTGGACACACAAAATATCCTGGAAGTGCTATTAGACCAGTCAGAAGAAAACCAAGCACTAAACTAGCCTCTCTCCTAACTGCTACCCTTGGAGTCCTCCTGTCACCACAAATGTGTATTTTCAGAAACAAAATGACAGGGAACAAAGTATTAGCAAGTGTCACATGGTGATGCCTGCTAGTGCTGCTCTATTTCCAGCTGTGTCAGCATTCCCCTTCACAGCCCCCATACTGCCCAACACACGTGCAAGTACTGTGGTGGCTCCTGCTGCGTGACTAACTTCTGCCTGTGATGTGATGGTTCTCCTCCATTCCTCCCATGTGAGGTTGTGCTAGATGCCACAGCTTGGAGTCATCTTGGCAAAATTCAGCTGCCTAAAATGTAGGTGCTTCGTAGGAATTAAACACCCTCTCTAGTCAAATGCCAAGGAGGTGCCCAGGGAAGTGGTGGAATCACCATCCCTAGATGTGTTCCAGAACATGTGTGGATGTAACACTGAGGGACATGATTATTGGGCATGGTGGGGGATGGGTTGATGGTTGGACTAGGCAACCATAGAGGTCTTTTCCAACTTCAATGATTCTATGAAAGGCAACTCCAGAACAACTCAGCCCATTCTAAAATAGTTGTCTACAACTGACAGGCTAAATTACACTTTAGTGGTTCCTCTCTCTCTCCATTGACAACTACGAGAGCAGGGAAGACTCAACATTTCATTTTAGTCCATCTAAAATTAAACAAAATCCCACCCCACTTCTTCCCTCTTGTGACTATCAAGCTTCATCCCCTTCGGCTCACTTTACAGATCAGCAACAAATCAAAGAAAGCCTTCTTGCTTTTGGCAGCTTGTACTGAGTGCTGCCATGGTTAACCAGCACTGTGTGTGCACATGGAGAAGAAGTATCCTGTCTCCTTGTTTCCTCTGCTGTTTCCTGAAATAGCTCTGGGACCATGCTCAGAATGTACTGCAGCAGCACAGAGCATGCAGGGGTTATATCAGTCCTGTACAGACTTCTGATACATGATCTTGAAATATTCTTACATTATTTGAGAAAGCAATGAGAAGTAGGGAGTTCTAGAAAAAGCACAAGGCCTTTTCAGACAACAAGCCTGAACACTAGGAAGCCTGGCACTGCTTTGTGCCTGAGGGAGGACCTTGTGCTCCTGTCTGGGCTCCAATTTGATTTAATTATGAAATTCAGCAATGAGTTTAGCAGTGTTAGCAAGAACAAGAATCAGTCACAGCAAACTCTAGAAACCTGTGAAAGAAATATGGTTGGTTTCCTTTTAAGGCATTCAGTGCTTTTCACAGGCAATTCAGTGCACACAACTAGGCTTAAAAGGCTTGTTTATTTTTCATCTGCAGGTGCAGGCAGGTTTATAGGTGGCCAAAAAAAACAGAACACTGACATGTTAGTGTTATCTTCAGAATTGTTCCCATGCAGCTGTACAGAGCCATAGGCTGCCTTCATTTTCTTTTCAGAAGGACAGTCAGTTTTCATTGGGGCGAGCAAGAATGATTTGCTGCATCATACTCATGTCCCCTCACATGGAGCTAAATTCTTCAAACTGAATCCTCTAAACTCAGCAGAAAGACAGCAAGGTTTTGGAGAAGTCATTTGCTTTGGTTGTTTATCAAGAAGTGTGTCCTTGGGACATTCCAGTTTTACTGAGCACTCTAACTGCTTCAGGTTCCTTTCTGCCAAAGGTCTGTGCAATGCAGCATCTCACCAGCCCATCATTAGTGTAGCAGGGCATAATGTGGCAAAAGAGGCAGCTTGACCAAGACTCAATCTTCCCTTTAAAATCACTCTTGACTTTGCTGGGCATACAGCTTCCAAACAAAATGCTTTGGGACTGCTACTGCAAATAGACAATTGGTCTTGGCATGAGGAAGTTACAGATTACTGCAGTATCTGCTATAAACACCACAGCCCCGTGCTGCAGGCTTAATTCAAGAAAAACAGCCAGGACAGGCTCCCATGTTTTAAATAGTGACACAACAGCATCTGTTGACAGTAGAGTGGCTGCTGCTCTGCTCAGCATGCTCACCTTGCCTGGGCTTGTGCTCTGACCCTTGTCAACAGAGACAGAGAAGCTTTTTTTACTCACAGCACTGACACCACTGCAAGCTCGTAGGTAGATGAAGAACACTTATTTAATGCTGTTCCAGAGATTTATGACACTGCATCTTACTGGCTGAGAGTAGAGCAGGCTGTATTGTTACCAGATGCTCTGGTTTCATCCTGACAATTTCCAAGGTTCACAGGAACATCAGCCTACCTCTCACAGTCAACTCCATTACACAAAGATGGATCACCTTCTTTGTTCTGACAGTGGAACACCAACCACTTTACAGAATTCTGGGGGAGTTGTTAGCGCTACGCGACCATCTTATGACAGATTTCCCAGAAAAATGTGTAGCACTTGAAGGCTGTCATCCATTTCCTGAGCCATATTCATTTCCCTTATCTCATTTGCATGCTTGGCTGTCAAGACATCTTCATGAATGTCATCTGATCTTCAGATGACAGGAGAGTACTGTGCTGACCTTGTTCCTTAGGTGAAGTTGGAAGGAAAACTAGAGCTCTTTCTGGGTCTAGAATAAATGTTTTGTTCACACACACTTCCAAAGCAAGCACTTTACATCTGAAATCTCTGTGCTCAGGCAGAAAAGCAATAATAATAAGTAAATAATTAAAATTTTAATACTAATTTTAAAAAGAGGGTAATAACTCACTTTGAGGCTACTGTTATTCTAGATCACCACTGCAGCTCCTCCATAGACGTGTGTTAGAAATAAAGCACTGAACTGAGAAAGAAGGAGGTTAAGGGCCCTGGACAAATGAGGATGAAATCAGGAAAAGAACAGTTGATGAACTCAACGCAACATAGTTTTGTGAAGTACACCAGTTAAGCTGGACAGTAAAAACTGGAAAAGAGCAGCAGAGAGTGCTGCAAGGCTCGTAAGGCCAGGGACAGCTGTCAAAAAAACAGAATGGCAGCACTGTCTTGCTGTTGCCAACATAACCTGTTGCTTTTGATACTAATGAATAAAAACAAAATTAATCAAATATATATATTCACTTTTGAATCTCAACAAGAAATTTTAAAGATAAAGAAAATATTAAGCCCAGTACCTTGTGTCCTCTTAAGCAAAGTAGAGGCATTCCACTCTAGTAGAAAGGCCGTGCCAGAACCAGATTTGGCCACGTGTGCAGTTTTGTGATAGTTTATGCAACAGGGTTTGAGCCTCCTCCTCCCAGTTTTGTTGCTTAGCTATAAACTGCCTTATAAAGAGAGTTACTGTTATGAGGCAAGCAACTGTTTTTTCTGAACCTTTACTTTGTCTAATATGTTTCAGATTTCTTCAGTGTCTGCCAAGCTTTTCCTTTCCCTTTTTTTTTTCCTCCCCCTAAAGACATAAACCAGTCTTATGACTGGAATAGCGCAGCCAAGAAAAATAACACAGAGCTGATTTTTAACATTACATAACATGGGGGTAAGTTTAAGAAAAAAAAATTCAAAGCAACAGGTTGAATACACCAAAGAGATCAGGGTTCTGAAGACAGGAAATAGAGAAACCAAACAACTAGTGAAGGAGACCTACCTCTTTCCACCTACAGAGTCAATAGAGCTTCCAAGCTGATGATACCTGAGAGCTAAAATGTTTGCTTTTGCTTTATATAAGAGATTTTGCTATGAGACTCCTTTGTTCTTTAAGTGGAAAAAAATGCCATCGTGGCAACTGTGGTCACAAAGAATGCAAGGCAAGAAGAGCACATTCCCAAGGCTGACAGACCCCCCAGCACCATATCTTTAGCTTAATAAAAAATACTGCACTAAAAAGCTTCCATTTCCACAGTCTTAACACTGTTTATGTTGAACACAAACACGACTCCATCTATCATCCTCTACTACCAGAAACGTTAACAATAAAGGAGAAATGCAGGTATTCAGCACTGCATGTCAGAAATGACCTCTCCCTGTATTTTCCTATGCCTCAGGCAAATTTCTATCAATTGAGGGGCTGTTACTTTAAATACTCAACCTTACTCATTATTACTTGTTAATTAGAATCATTATTTTATGTAAACACCTATGTGAAAAGTCTGTAAACATACCTTCATCTGCTTGACTGTGTATCTCATTGTTCCAAATGGTCCATCTTTCATGAGCTTCTTCCCCACAACTTTAGCACGGATCACTGTCATGAGAAAGGAAAAATACAACTGGTAAATAACTTTGAATTTAGATACAGAAACCCTCACAAGATTTAGGCTGGACCCTCCACTTCAAAAAAGCCCCTCGGATAAATTGCTTTGTGAAACAAAACTCCAGACCAACATTCCTTTTAATTTATTCTAAAACTTCACATGCAACGGAGGCATGTAAAATGGGATGCCAAAGAAAGTATTTATTTAGAGGAAATCCAATTAAGTGTGAAGACTAAGAACAAGCATTATTTGTGTTGAAATCCCTCTCCAATTTGAAAAACAGATTATAGCTGGGACCAAGACAAGGTAAAATGCTTGCACCAAGCCAGTGGGATGAAATTAATAATTGACTGCCTTGAATCTCAACATACAGAATTGCACGATGGGTGCCTCATGCAGCTTCTGTTTCCCAGTAACCCAATAACCCAATACAACACACTGCAATGTCTCATATCTAGGGACTTCCTACAGCGGCTAATCTCAGGTACCACAAGACTCCCATCAAACAGCTCTCTCAAACAAACAGTTAAGGATTTTGATGTCTGTCAAACAAATCTAGCAGGTAGCTTACAGTCAGGTTAATGAAGCGCTCTCCTGCTTCTGTATTTTTTGGGCATACCACACAAACTATTGTTTCATATATCCTCTGCTTTGAAATCACCTGATCATCAGGAGGAAAGCAAAGCTTAGTAACAGGGCAGGAATTATTCAGCTAAAACCCACTACCATGGAACAATCACATTCTGTTATAAAACCACTAGAAGTGGCTTAACTTTTACAGGAGCTGAGATTTGAGGAAAAAAATGAGATTTGAGTAGACCAGTCCTGACAAGAATCACTGCTAGAAAAGCTGTACCCCAGAAGCCACTCAAACCAACAAAAGCAAACAAACAAGGAACTCAAAATTCCATGAAAAGAAACATCAAAACTACAACATACCCATGTAAATCCTGCCTCCAAAGTTATGCATTCATTGTGTTTCTCACTATGAGGGCCATGAAAATTATTCCAGTAGAGTAATCCAAATAGTGCAACACCTCACAACACTAATAGAAGCTCATTTTTTCCTGGAAGGAGGTACCAGACGCTTTTGCATGAAGGTTATATTGGTACAACACAATTGCAAACAAAGTATTCCTGCTGAAAATACAGCCCAATGTTTTCAGAATACTGAAATCCTGCAACTAAAATGGACTACATACATCCCTTCTTCTGAGCCTACAAAGGTCCTGATCATAACTCCCTGAGCAGGACAGAGGTATTCCTTTTACAGAGATTGTACTAATGCATCACAGAAAACAATTCATTAAGAAGCAGGAAGGCATGAAAGGGAGATCAAGAGGTGGAGTCGATCCTTTGCAAGTAGGAAAACCCAATGAGCTATTATATGCATTATAGCATTATATAAAAGCAGTAACAAAGTTCATGGACCCATTTGCTAGGCTTATAGGATATAAAACAAGCACCTTGTTGGTTCTTAACTCATTTCAGGGTTCAGATGGCAACAGAAGCACCGGGAGAATTGGTAAGAAGAGGAGCACTGAGTTTTGTTTGCTACCTTGATCAAATTAATGAAGGAAAATGGTTGTCCTCACTCACCTAAAGTGGTACTTTCTAAATAATGTGAAAAACAGATTTAAAGAGGCAGATTTAAAGAGTTATATGCACCAGCCCCTGGACCTTGTTCATGAGGATGGTGTGAAATGAAGACAGGCTCACTCTGCTCCAATTTACATTCTGTGCTTTAGCCAGACTTCTCGAATAAACTTTAAATTCAGTAAGACAGTGCTGTTGGCTTTGATTCAAAAGTCCAACAAAACTTCTGTTTATTGAGTGTCAAACTTGATTTTTTTTTTTCAAACTTCTATTATCCAATGGCAGTAAAAGCATACAGATTTGTACGATTTTATTAATTCCACTATTTAACAAGCTACTCAGAGTTCAATTTACTCCCTCCTTCAAAACTTCATAGCTACACTGAAGGATGTCCTTGAGGAGGGCAAACATGAGGTACTTCCCTTTGTTTCCCCCAACCACCACTGCAAGGAAAATAGCAGAAAGCAGACTGCCTAAGACTCAGTTAAAAAGAACACAATTTCATTAATGCTCTGTGAAGTTCCTGGGTACTTCATTAGTAATACAGCCCATAGCAAAGGGTATGAAAGGTCTTATCTTCACCTGTTGCTTAAGTAACACGCTGAAATTGAAAAACAACAACCAGTGTTTGCCTAACATAGGATTATTAAATTCAGATAACTTACAATGGTAAGAAATATATTAAAATGCAATTTTGCAAAACCCTAAGGTTGCCAAGCCAGAACATGGTTAGCATTAAAGATGACAGGCACATTCCCAGTTGCTGACAAAATACCTAAAAATCTGTTTTCTTCATGTACTTAACTGCTAGTTTGGCAGCCCTTTAACTTTCTGGTTAAAGTAGCACAGCCACTTCAGAAAGAAAGCAGCTTTGATTTACGGACTAATCAACAGCTTCACCACAAGACCGAAAGTTCAAAACATGCATCTTCACTAATACATAACAGCATCCCAGTTCCAACACTGCTACCCTCGCAGTCAGGTGGAAGGATATGTGACTAGGTTAAGAAGGTCCCATCTCTTCAGATTATTACACTCCAGTAAATAGAAAGGAACAATCATACCAGCACATTCATCTAGTGAAAGCCATGAAGAACCTTAGTGTGGGCTGTCGCTCCAAGCCTCTAGCAAGTGGGTCAGGCTGTCTGTATCTCAAGGAAGTTGTCTTTATTATCCCAATGGTAACCTTTCAGATAAGTTCCTTCCTCTACCAGAAAGCTTGGAACAAGGAACTCACCCTACCTCATTTCTCCCATATTAAAGGAGAAATCAAGCTGTTAGCCAAGGAGCAAACGATGCTCCAGTTTCCGCCCTTTGAGGATCAGACACCTCTGAGTAAGAAGAAAACAATGTTGGATGGATAGAACTGCTCAGAGGCTGCTCTTACACATGCAGCTTCATCAGCCGTGTGAAAGCAGTCCATAAATCCGCCCAGAACAAGGCTCCAAGCTGCAGAACTGCAGCCACGTGGATGCTGCAAATTCAGTCCCCGTTACATTGGAGAAATCCAATGTTTGCTTATGAGGACTTCCATTTTTTCATCAGAAAAAGGCAAAAGGTGCTGTGAGCGCTCCCCTGAACTCCTTTCTCCCTGAAGCTCTGTTAAAGTCCTGCTGTTACTGATGGGAAATTTTATCCCACACAAGTGGTCACCAAAATAGCTGCATATTTTTAAACCACAATTCCTTTGATGTACTGCCTATAAAAATACACCGAGATGAATGTTTCTCAGTACTTCAGGGTTTCGGGTCAGGTCACTTTGTGGGACTAGAGCAGTTGGCAAGGTCTCACGAGTGATTTGTAATTATTATGAAAAGTTAAATTAAATGGGGATATAAATCTTGATAAGAGTGGCTGCCATATAGTGATTCAAAGAGGTGAAAGGGCTGCTTGTTCAATGTTGGTACAATTTAAAAAAATGATGGGTAGCAGAGGACATGGTCACAATGTGAAGACTAGACAATGAGTGAGAGAAGTGGGCACACGTGAGACTAAGAGAAGCATTTCCCAAGCTAAGAAAACAACGTGGTGAAAAGACATGCAATTATGAAGCCGTTTCATCCTGGCATAAACCACTACTACACATTAATAGGAGCTCTTCTTCCCCCAGCTGAAAAGCAAAGGCGTATTTAGTTAATTCAAGCCTGTCCTTTATGGGGGTCAGCCACTAGATGGTGACACTATCACAAATCTCACATTAATGAGAGGGCAGCGGTACGTGTGGGAGCTAACACCACGATTCCCAGTTGTATGTCCAACCACACCATGAGAACCAGATGCTTCCACGCAAGCTGGATGCTTGTCATCCATAAACAGCAGCTTTCAGTGAAGGCACACTGCCTTCAGAGACCAGGATTTGCTCCAAACCCATCTCCCTTGTGACTAATGATTATGAAAGTCTCAGGAGAATAACACATGCTACAATTCTATTATTGTTTCCAGGATTTTTTTTTTTACTGGTGTGCAATAAGGGTATTTTTAAGTGAGAAGTTTGGCTGAGCTGTGCACTCGTTACATTTAAGCAAATGAAGGATGTGGAGGATTCACGTTGTTACTAATGAAGACATGGGAGAGAAATAATTCTTTCAGCCCATTCTTAGACATCCAAATAGCAGCAAAATAACATATATGCAGAGCATCAATGTGACCAGGAGGCTAAGAAAGGCTCTGTCTGTTCTGAGGCCACTAGCTACCCCAGCAGCTGGGCTGCAAAACAACCCCTCAGCAGAAGGGTGTGTTTGGAAATGCTGCCTTGACACTAAAGGTGGGACATGTTATGTTCCTTTTCCCACCCCCCATCTGATCTGTTAGCAATTATCAGTAAGACTCCTGGCTTCCCTATTAACAGAGGGCCATAACTACAAGAGGATTGTGTCCTTTGGACTGGAAGTCCAGGCCCAGCTGCATACAACCTCTTGGGAACCTGTTAAATTGCCTGGTGGCTGTAAGCTTGTGTGAGAAGCAAGTGGGTGGGGATGCCTCTGGAACAAGAAAACACCATCTCACCCATTTCTTCACTTTCACAGCACAACAGAACCATGGGGAAGACAATGATGGCAGCAGGGGGTTCATGAAAAGGCAAAACCAGATAGAAATCCCTTGTCTGCCTGTAATTAAAGTCTCATCCTCCTACATAAGCAAAAGACAATTATAAACATATTGAATTTGAAGGCTTCTTGCAAAGACCAAGGCTGAGAAGACGATACAGTAGAGGAGCTTTCTCTTGCCTTGTTCCACTGTGACCTCCAGCCAAAGCCACATGAGCAAAGAAAACCTTTTTTGCTTTGCCTTGGAACAAGCCAAGCCCAGCAGAGCTCCTGGAAAGCATTGCCAGAGAAACTCATCAAGAAAGCACAAAAAAAAAAAAAAAGAAAATAGCAAAGTAAGCAGTTCT